GTTGATGAAGAATGATGAAATTTAGAGACACCAACAAGATGCAACTTGATTTAGATGCTAGCCTAAAACTCTTAAATATTAAGCTTGAAGTTCATAACCAAAGTATGAACTTCAAGAAAGTATAAAAGCAAGTAATCTACATGTGTTGTTAACAAAACTAGAGAGAGTGAGATGAAGAGAGCAAAATTTCGGATTTTGCATGGAGAAAAAAGGATTGTAAGCTTTCATAAAGCTATATCATTACTCTTAAGTCGTTAACCCTTTTAGCCATCCATGCTCCTACACCTACATGTCCCCCATGTCCTTAAGACATGCCTTACCTTTTTGATTAAACTAATCAAAAGGCCATACTCACTTTTCATAAATCAATTTTTGGATATTTATGTATAAAAAGAAAGCATGTGTCTTATATTTTATAAACAAGTTTATAAAATATAAACTTTAACTTTTTGGTAAAAGACAAAAGCATTTATATAGTCCAAAATGTTGAGCATGACTTCTTATTTCATACCATATGAATTGCGTAATGTTACTTGCTAATGAAAATTATTATTTTCATGAAATAAATAATTTCCAATTTAATATTTATTAAAATCAATTTCTAATAAATAATCAATTATATCAAGTTGTTTTTAGTGTGAGCCATTAGTATCGTATGTTAATTAGCAATATCACTTTAATATGATTCTTGATCATACTAGATCTTTCAATCTCCTACTTGCATAAGATTAATATTAGACTGATATAAACAGTGGTGAATGTGTAGCAACATTTGACTACCCCCATTAACATACGACTTTGTGCCATTCTATCAACACCCAATTCCCAAGAAGGTCCAAGCTACAATTGGAGTAAAGTTAAGTTTATCAATTATCCCTTAGTAACATAGATAAAAATCACAAGAACTTAAACTTTTTTAAAACAAAACGAATTCACAAATTGTTTACAATCATAGTTTTCAAAACATTTTCAACATCAGAATCTCCCAAAATCATAAGTCAAAAACATGAGGATGTGTATGGTCACACACTCACCTTCATGCGGTCATTTGAAGTACCTAAAACATAACCCTAAACTGTAAGTCAACGCCAAGTGAGATTCCCCAAAGTAACACATAAATAGATAACAAATAAAATGACAACATGTCTTGTCCAATCAACCATCTGGTTGGAATACCTCAGGCCCATTGACCATCAGGTTGGAATGCTAATACATTATGGGTCTAGTCACCCATCGAGTTGTAATGCCAATCTACAATGGGTCCTGTCATCATCGGGATGGAATACCCTCATGCTAATTAAACCATCGGGTTGGTATGCCCCCGACATGTTGGATTACACACAAAGCAGTAAATCCCCAACCACCGACCAACTATGTGCACATATAATAGATTGATCTACAGATTACTAAGCATAGTATCATCTGATATACTAGGATACCGATCTAACATATCACCATATCACAATAGCATACCTAACATGATATCAGATCCAAATGGCTGGACTTGGTGCCTTCGACCTGTAAGTATAGTGAGGAAAACTCACCTCACAAACTGGACAAAAAATGATAAGGTCTCAACTCTGAATTTGATCTCTTTAACTGACACTTATACCCACTAAATGACCAATTTCCATCAAAATCACAAAATACCCAATAATACCCTCAAGGTCACACTTGGTCAAACTTAATGAAGTGAAAAATAATTACGCAATAGTTTATCCCACCAATGTAACTACTTTCTACATAAGGCAGTGTGCCTTGTTGTAAATAGTATAACACAATACACAGGTATCGAACATAGGGAACAATATTATTAGCTAATTTTTACATACTACCAACTAAATACTAAGAAAACTAGAAAAATGATTTTTTTTCTCTATTTTGCAACACTAGAAACTTAATTAACTTAGCTAAACTAACAATTAACTAAGGCAATTATCAAACTAAAGCAGGAACAAAGAGAAATGATTTCAACCAACTTATCTGAAAGACTTTTGTTTAGCTTCAATTTACTTGCTATTATGGTTGATTTACAGAAGAGCAATGGATTAATGTTAAATTGGTTAGCGATTCCTAAGATGACCAATTTAATATTCACTAACTTAATCCTTTAGCACCCAAGTTCATTCATACAGTAATCAGACGGATAAACGAACTAGCTTACTAGTGTTCGGTTCGAGTAAAATTAGACTTATAATAGATTGATCAAATTGGTTAACTAATTCAATTTAGTATATGATAGGCCATCATATATTAGCTCCCGTAATATTTACCCACTTTTCTATTTAACCCTGGATTTTAGTTAAAACTCTAGCCCTATAATTTTTGCAATCCACAAAGATCATAAGATTCAAGCTCAATTAAGAAAGATGGTCATACAAACTTAATTAAATAGAGCAATAAATAGATAAAAGAGTTATTATAATCACAAGAGGTTCTTTAAAAAGTTAATTAAAGAAATAACCAATAAAAACTTAATCTAACCATAAATCAAACCACAAATAGTCAAGTAAATCGATGCCAAACGAAGTCATGGGGTTGTAGCCCATGATTTCAGCAGCTAAATTCATAAAAATAAATTCTATATGAAAAGACATGATCATACCAGAATATAAAATTGTAGATAAGAAGTTATTTCCTTATTATTCTCAATTCCCAAGCTACTATCGATTCCTTAAATTCCAAGCTTCAATTCAGATCCTTGGCCTTTAGAAATCGTCTAAAGCTCTTAGCAAAAAGTTCTCAATTCGGAGAGAATGGCATATATTTATACTTTCCCAAAAAACAGACCGCCACGTTAAGGTGAGGCCACCATGTCGTGGTCATCGTGATTATCCTGTATTCAACAAGTCTTCACAGTCAATTGGGAAAGGTAAAAAATACTACGTCGTGGTGATGTCACCACGACATGTTGGGTATATTTTTCTTCACTTAATAATCTTTAATCAAATTCTTTAGCTTCCAACTTCCAGCTTCCTACTTCCTTTCTACTCCAAGCACATCTTTTACCCCTACAACATAATATATAACAAATTAAGTACCTTTTGTTATATAAATGATATAAAAGTAATTAAAAATATTAAGATATGATACACAATTATATATATATATATATACACATACACATACATATATATATATATATATATATATATATATATATATATATATATATAGATATGCACATATCAAAGTACCCCACACTTATTCTTTGTTTGCCCTCAAGCAAATTGATTTTTATATTCTTGCCAATATCACATAGAACAATCCATTTCAAACCCACCAATTATCCGAAGACCGCAATGCATGTATTTGTGTCTACAATTCCTCAAAACCTCCCATTCCTAAATACTCACAATCGATATGAACCTTCATCCGTTAACTTATACAACACTCGTTTTTGCAACCCTCCGAATCCATCCCTGAAACCTTTCTTAACCTCAAATTAATTTTGGTTAAACTTCCAAGCATACATAATCTAGAAAAATTATAACTCTTGATACCACAATGGGGCTCCTTGGAATTCATATATTCTTTGAATAATTGATCCTTGATTTCTTTGAATTCACCACCTTTTCATTTTATTTTTTGGTATCTTCCACTTTTTGGTATTTCTTCAGAATTTTTGATCTTTGAATTTATACTTTGATAGCTCCACAATTGTTCAAGTTTTCGGTAATTACTTTTTTTTTTTACATATCTCAGTTTTTTCTGCAAAGTCCTACATGATTAACCAAGGAGCTTAACTTCAACCTTTATTGGTTAGATGCATTAGTCTAGGTGTAATGACTACTTAAGCTTTCCTGAATGGATTTTAGGTACAGGCTGCAGAACTTCTTATATCCTATAAGCTACCAGATTACCTTTCATACTTCATGACTTTTCACTTGGAAATGGGAAGCCACAAATACACTATAACATGTGTTGGCTCAGGTAAACATTTGTGATCTCATTAGATAATCCCATCCAACACTAGAAAGAATTTTAATTAGCTAAGTATCCCTAAATTAAACTAATGTTTCAAGTTTATATATATATATATATACATATATATATTCAAATTAGTGAAAACTAGCAATGCAAAATTTTTGAAAAATCAAATGCTTTTTCTCTAATGCAGTATACCCCCTACACTACACTTAATTCATGCAATGCCTTTATTACATGTTATGCAAGACATAAAATTAAACAATGAGAAAAAGGAACAACCTCCCTAGGGATAGAAGATGCATCTTGAATCGTGTGGCTGATGTGTAAAATGGCTTGCTCAAAAGTTTGGAAACAAAAGTGTTTGACCGCTACGAAACATGACTCACAAACTTGGGCACATGCGCTTCGTAATGTATAAGATAAGACTCGAAAAATTGGACTAGAGAAGGGACCACCTCGTGGTGAAAAGGAACTCGTCATGGTGGGCTTGGTGGATGAATTATTTTTGTTTTCTGACTGCGACACCACATCGTGGTGCAGGATACCACAACGTGTTGATTAAAAATTTGCATAAATAAGTGCTGAAAATAGCAGAATTCTGGAATATGATTTAGCACTAACATAAATAATCATTTCATGGATGTGACTCTTCACTCGTTTGCTCAAAATAACACTCGAAATGCTCCACTCTCACTTCTCTTGTCGTTTTCTAATCTTTCTCTATAATGTATCACTCTTTTGCCAAAACTACCCCTCACTTGGACTCTAAAAATTCTTGGGAATATAAAATAAAGATAAGTGATAGAACTAGGAAACAAATTCAAAAAACCAAATAAAAGATAAATATCCAAACAAACCTCACCAAACAAATGAAAATAAACAATCAAAATAAAAGAAGCATGCCTTGAACCCACTTCAATAAAAGGATAATACTCACTCATTCCTCATCATAATCATCACTACCTCCACCCACTACCACTGGCTCTTCCCTACTACTATCTCCGAAGCTCCTCCCAAGTTAGCGCATAAGAATATGAAGCTGGAAAATGATCTGGTCGAGCAAAGTGCATTTATTGCATCATGTAATCCAAACTCATATTGGTATAATTGGAATTCTGTGCCAAATTATCTTGAAACCTACTCCATGCTACATTGTAGGTATCCATCTGGAGCTCGTCCTCAACAAGGATTACTGGAGGCTCATCTTCTTCGGCTTCATCACTCCTTTGTCTCACCTGCACCCTGGGTTGGTTACATGGCATATCATTTGGAATAGAAAAATTACCCAATCCATTATCTTCAACAATGCGAGCCCATTTATACATAAGGGGAGAAAAATATGTTTGTGGCTCAGTGGTCAAGAACATCACTTCACATTTGTCAAGAATTCCAAACGATAGGGAAATTCGGGTGATAAACATCCTACCATAAAAAGGAGAACCGCACCGATTTTGCCCACCCGACTAGATAGAAACTCAGCCAATAAGTAAGGAAGATCCACATGGATGTTCGGTGTAATAAGGGCCCAAAGGAAAAACACATCTAATGTCGGGATCTTGTCCCCCTCTTGCCATTGATTAATCGTATTTGTGATGAACCTGTTGGGTTTTGAGCATTCTAACACTCCTAAGTGTACATGCAACCCTAAATACCTTGGATCTATTTTTTCTCTATTATACATGGAAATATGAACTTCCAAGGTATTATCCTAATCTAGCATACAAAACAATGAATATAACAAGATAGAATGCATACCTCTTTGATGTAGAATGTCTTCATGAAGCTTGAGTGCCTAGTGCCTCAAGTGTGACACCTTAAATGGTTCACACAACACCAAATACACTTGGAATAACTTGAGAGAATTCTACAACTCATGAAATCGGTTAGCCCTTCTTTTACCCACACTAGTGGCTGATTTTGGTGAATAATATGTTGCTGATATAGTATGTTACAATTAGGGTTACACCATGTAAGCCCTAATTGTCATGAACTTTCATTTCCATGACCCATGGGTTATGTAACCTCCATGGAGCATCCATGGAGTATCCTATGGGTTCTACCCAACTAGATAATCCATGGAGCATTAGCCCACTATATAAGTATGGATGATTTACACAATCAACCCATATATTTAATTAGTCTTCTTTTGATCACATAATTAATTCTAAATTAATTCTTGATCAATAATAATTAAATATTATTATTCTTATTATTAATATACTAGAACTTATAATATATTAATAACTATAAGTGTCTTATTTCTGCCACTTAGTCTATCCAAGTGCATGATGCCATGCAACCTAAATGGACCATGTCGAGTCGGGTCAAGTCTTGCCAATTATAGTTATGGACTTAGACATTAATCCAACAGTCTCCCACTTGGATAAGTATAAAACTAATATTGCGTATGACTTCAAGAACCGACTGGTAATCGTAGCTCTCAAAAGCTTCCGTTGAACTCTGACCTTGTAGATGAAGTCTAACCATTGTCAATGACTTGTCCATTAGATAAGAGATCATATATTCCTCCATTTTGGATATCATATGGACTGAGACATGGATTATAATCATTCTCTCTTTCCATTTGCTGTTTCCCGATTTTTGATTTATGACGACTGACTAATTGAACAAATCAAATCAGTCCTGGCCTGACCGAGCACTTCCATTTGTCTTCATCAAATCATCGAGGGCCCCACAGATATTGCTTTTATCCTAAAGGTAAAAGGAATGGATAAACTTTGACTCATATGTCTTGTTCTACTACTTGTTGAATCATACACAAAAGCACGTTTTATAACATCGAGTTATCAATGCGTTTTCGTGCAATCAATGTACTATCAACTCATAGTAACAACTCATATCTCTAGGTTTGAAGAATATAAGATATTATCATCTCATGATCACTCGTGATAAAAATCCATGAAGTGATTCCAATGAGTGCGGGTTGAATCCAATACTCAGAACTTATGAGCACTCATGAGTGTTTTAGCCCTTTGTCCAGCATCTTAGACCTCTACAAGCCAACCCATGACAGTGTTAATTCATATCTACTTCCAACATATGACTGACTATGGATGGTTTGAATAACTTAGTCAATCAAAACAATGACCTAGTTATTCTGGACGTCAAAACATGTAAAGTGAACACAATAATAATCGAATCCAATATGGTCTCAGAACTTATGAATATAAATAAAACACCTTTTATTTATCGCCATATGATTACACATTATTCATTGTATACTGTTTCAGCTATCAACTTTATTCTTGAATTTAAACAATAGTTGTCCCTTACTCCAAGCATGTACACTATGTATTTCTAAACACTAGTCATGCCACACACCAAGTATGCATACTATGTTTGTCTATGATCTTTACTTTGTGAAATATATCAATTGAACATAACTCCAATGATTCTCATTTCACAGTCCAAAATCCCTACCGCAAATGCAAGAATTCCAAATTCATGCCATTTACAAAAATCTGTTAGATTCTAAACTTATATGCATCGATCCTCTTGTAATGATTATGCACAAATTCACAAAGACTTGGCAACAATCATTACAGAGTATTCCAAAGGAGATCAACTACTTGGAAACATCCTTCTTACATTAAGTTTCCTAATCTTACACAGATTGAATAATTTCTAACTTTGAAACATTTCCATATTCCATTTTGACCATCACTTCTGAACAAGAGTTGCCTCCTTACAGATTATGTCAATATGGTCCTTCCAAAATTATCACTATACTTCCCACTGTCCTTGAGCAACCAATCTTTGGTAACCTTAGATTGTCGTCGACAGTTGTTTAATCCTTTTAGTCATATCCAATTCTAGACCTTTTCCCTTCTTAATGCCCTAGGCATTTGGAAAATTTAGAACGAATGAATATAGCACATGTAATCGATCCTATATCCGAAGCACATGGGACACGATTCTTGATATCTCACATAAAGACTAAACCAGTCTTTTGCTATAATATTTCCATTTCAATTTGCCAAGTTCTCATAATTCAGATTATGAAAAGGGATGTCGTAATCATAATCGAATTTTAGAATGCAAATAATGGACCGATATACAGAATTTCCTTATGTTGAGCCATTCCAACATGAAATTCATATATATATATATATATATATATATATATATATATATATATATATATATATATATATATATATATATATATATATATCCTTGACTAAATGATTAAAATCTCACGGTCTAAGCTTATAGATTTGAGATGAAGTACAATTTCCTCTCCCTTAATTATAGCAAAACAACTTTTTCCCAATTGAAACTTTTTGTTTTCTATAATTAACATTGCTAACTTGCAATACTTATCATAATTATCATGCTCCCACTAACATGATGATTATTAGCATAACACTTATGCTCCCACTAACTTTGACATGTATCCAGAAATTAGCTGGACTTCTAGAAATCAATACTTTATTGAATTTCTTACCAAAGTTCAGATTTCTGATACTAGATTGCTTTGATAAAACTCTATCAATATCATACACCTTATATTATATAGCTCACAGGTATGTCTAAACAATTTCATAACTATGAAAAGGGATGCCGTAATCATAGTCTCAATTGTTTAAACCTTTGCCACTTCTTAAAAGTCCATGTTAGTGTTCCGGTTAACCACACATGCTCCAATAACGACTTTGAGAATGCAAGTATCACAATTGCTATCTAGCTAAAATCTACTTAGTGAAAGTGTTTCCACACCATCTTTTTCATGAATCAGAGAGAAACCTTATGAAACTTAGATTTAATAGTGTATGTGTTCTTATCCATGTGAGTTGTCAAACCATAGTCACAAAACAACGATAATGACAAATCCAAGCTCATATGGACTGAACTCAATTTTAATTTCTTGCCACCTAGTAGCTCAAGGGTCTGCCATTGCTTCCAAGTTGTTGTGCACCAATTGAAAACTCTAAGAACTCATATGCAAAGAAAACTTTAACTGGAATGGGCACAAAATATGTTAACACGATAGGTTATAAACCTCAAGTCGTGTGCTAGTGAAGAACTTCAGGTTTTATTCTTGATTGGTTCTTGAGACTTTCAAGACCTTTAAGACTCCCACTGTCCTCTTGACATATAAGACTCTCTTGTCAGATATTCAAGAGATAGTGTGGATTCTAATCAAGACAAACACTTCACACAATTGGCCTTAATTGGTCTTTGTTTTATCCAAAACATCACAACTTACCAAGCTTCAAATGTACAAGAGTAGAAAACTTTTACTCTTACATTTGACAAGTGTTTTAAACCTTCTTCAGGACATGTTACTCAAATTACAATCTTGGAGTATGACTATAAGACTTGTCTTGGAACAAAGTATGACTCATCTTCTTGATTTAACCATTTCAACAATTCAAGTTCCTCTTCTTAGTCATAAGAATACACTAAGATTTCCTTAGAGAACTAATTTTGATATGGTTTCTTAATCATTAAGATGATCACAAAACTGATACTAAAGTACTCTCCCATCTTTTCAGATTTGAGAAAATTTTATCTTTCTGCCTAATTTGACTCTTCTTATTCGTTCTGCCTTACATTGAAAATTTTCCAATGTTTCAGAATTATACTTAAACTTGTAAGTATAACTATATTTACTGAACTTAAGTAAATCATGACGAATAGTCTTATCGATCTTTCGTGGTGAACTTAATCAGTGCACAAGAATGTGTACTCTATCCCTTAGTCCGTTACTTGACTCACACATCCATGTGAACAAGTAGTTAGTCTTAACTTTTCCAATGCTTGAAAGTTCCCATTCATCATGCTATACAACTTGCATGATTCCAAGTTCCGGTCAATTGAAACTTGGGTGATGACGATCTTTCCTTCTTTGGTAAATTTAGACACTACCACAAATGAAAGAATCAAATTCATATTTCCACTCTTGCTCTTAATGGAATCTTATAAGCAACAAAAATTTCCACAAATGCCATTGTAAGGATATTTTAAAATAAATAAAATCAAATTTTCCTTTTCTTTTTAAAACTTTGCGGAAAAACTAATCCTTATAATGCAAATGTATATGAAAACTTGTTGTTATCTATTCCTAAGCAATTTATCATAACTCCTAAGAAGTAGCTCAAGAATCCAATCTTCAAACTATGCGATAGAAATCCATATACACGATCAGATTCAGCATATTCTTTCTTTAAGTTTCTTCAATTCTCTTTGATTCTTAAAACATCAACATGTGACCCAATCACATCATGTATCAAGAATCTCATAATAGAAACTTAGCAGAGTTAGATAGTGGACTTTACCTGAAGTAGAGTCAAACTTATTGAGTTTAACATCCTTAGGTAAATTGGCAGCTTCGCAACCAATGCCCCTTGCTTTGGAAATTTAACATATGGACACTTTGGTAATGGAACATGGGACT